ATCATGTGTTATTGATTAATGTGTACTGTACTCCTTTAACATCTATGGCTGATACTATAAAGCTGAGGAAAAGCAAGCAACATAAAATACAAAAATGTTCTGCAAACCCTGCTTTTGCTTCCTTTTGTTGCTCTCTTGCAATGTAAAAACAGATAAATGGTTTCCTCTTTCAAATACAACAAAAAGAAATGACTCCTGGGAGGAGCCCTGGGATGCCAAGTTAGAGCCTGGATTGAATTTTATGACCACTGTAAAAACTCCTGAAAATAGGAAATTATAATGGAAATGCTGACTCTCACTGCACCAGTGTGAGCAGCACCACCACGGCATTATTAGTGATCTAAAGGGGCTGGAAGTTAAAGTGGAATCATTTACACAACCGACTTCACACCACTTTGAAAACAAGGGGTGTGTGGGGCGCGGGGCTGGGGATGGGGGGAGATTTTGCACTTAATTAGTTGCTTGCAAAATCCATTGTGATTCTTGAAGAAGACAAATCCCCTATCGGTCTATTCCATGCTCTGGATTTTCTTTCCCACTCCGCAGAAGTTGCTGGCAGAGGGCTGTCCCCACCGGCTCCGCGGGGCGCGGGGGGACAGACACGCCGGAGGGTCAACTGGGACTTAGGGGCCCACAGGCGGATCCCCCGCCGCAGTAGCTCTCTAGACAAGAGCAGCAATATGTTAAGGCGCTGGGTCACATCTCAGCATCGCAATCAAGCAAGAACGATTTCCCCCTTGCTAACAAAATGGAGATGTTCCAAAGTTTGTTTTTTATTTTCAGGGAGCCCTAGAGGTTTGGAAAAAAAAAATAGGGAGAACTCAAAAGTTGGCAGAAGAACATTATATCCATCTCTGCTCCTATTTTCTTTTTGGGGGATGGAGGCAGGAGTTGCTATTTGAAGAGCATTTACTCGTACCGCGGGAGCAGTTTCCACCCACGTTGTTTGCCGCTATTCTTCCCTTTCTTGTCATTAGCAGTTATTAAAATAATAAGGCTGCATGGGACCTGAAGAGAGAAGAGAGGTCCTGAGAGACGGGAGGACCAGTTCGGGAAAGGGTGTGCGGGAGCGCCCGCACTGCCTCCGGGCCCGGCCCCGCTCCCGCCGCCACCCGCAGTCCTCGGACACGCTCCGCGCTCGGTCCCCGCGGGATCGTACCCCTTCCTACCCCTTTCTGACTCTGCCTTTTCATCTCAGTCAGGGTCATTCCAGCGGGGGCAGAGCCCGCACACTCTAGTCCTTCACCACGGCCGTCACCAAAGTCAGAGCAAGAGGAAAAATCAGGCAAAGAGAAGAGAAGCAGAAAAGATACTATATATATGTATATTCCCCAGGTGCCACCAAAAGATAATTGGGGGCCTGTCTCGGGGGGGACACCTTTCCCGGGGAGCCGTGAGTACAAGGAGGGGGACTCTGCAGTGCACTTGTGCCTGCTCTCCGCTGCCGTGTCTGCCGCCTGGGCTGCTCCATCCTCCCGGTGAAGCTCCGGGAACGAAGAGGCTTTGGAACCGCTGTCGAGCGCTGTCGGCTGCTCTGTCCTGCTCCCGCTTCATTTCCCCGGCAGCGCTGGGAGCTGCAGGGCTCCCGAGCGGAGGCAGCTTTGCCCAGCCATCCCCCCACCCACCGCTGTTGCGTTCGTCGGGGGCGATGCAGCCCCTGGACTCGCCGAACACACCAAGCTCGCCCCTGCCCCGCCGCACACGCTGCTCCCCGCAGTCTCAGCGAGGCTCCTAAGGCTGATGCTTTGCTAGTGGAATGGTTGTTTCTGCTCCGTAAAAGAATTTTTAAGGGACAAGAGCAGTTCCCTGGCGGGGAGAAAGTCCCACGGAAGCAAAAGGGAGTTTTATCTTGCCCGTGGCTACGGGATGGGGCCGGGAATCGTTATTCTTGCAAAGGATAAGTTGGGTGCCGAAGGTGAAGGCGGGCACCCCAGCTGCGGAAGGGAAGAGGAGCAGCAGTCAGGCTGTGCAGCCCTCTCCCAACACGCGTGTAGGTGCATCCAGGGATACCTCGCATCTACAGCAGCGTAAACCAGAGGAGGCGCGATCCCCAGCAATACTCGCACTCCGCAGGGTTAGCCCCTGAGCCCAGAACTCGTTAGAGAGCAGGCGACAAGAGCTGCTGGCTCTCCACAGGAGGGACGAAGAAATGCCCTCAGATGTTTTCCCCGGGCCCCCTGAGTCTGCTGCGCAGTGGTCACGAAGTCACTCGCCCCTGTACGGGCACCAGCATTGGCATCGACGGCACCGGGCGAGGCGGCAGCGCCCGGCGGCGGCACCCGGTGTGGTAGACACCTGGTGCTGTCCGGGATGGTGTTGCCCGAAAAAGGGGGACATAGCTCAGGGTGGCCTTCACTTGCAAATACGTAGGACAGGATAGGGACGGGGATGGCTTTGGGAAGGGGATACAGGTGGGAAATAGGGATGGAGGCTCCGATCTCCCTAGTCACGCCACAGTTTTCCCTTGAAACGAACTAGGTTTTGCTGTCACGTTTAAATCCTAAAAATGTGGTTCGCTTTGGGAGCAGATGCCTTCACTTTTTACGACCCTCTTGAAGTTGTAACATTCCTAATCGACAGCAGATCTCCACTGTGGAAAAACGTAGTGTATTCCCCGCGTGTCAGTGCTAATAGTGGGTTTGTATCCCATTCCCGTTATTATGTTGCCCACCGTTGCAAGTTGACATAATCCAAATTTGCAAGGGACATCATACAAATTGATCCCAGGATAAAGGTTTTGGAAAAGCATACCCTTCATAACTTAAAACTACCACATATTTGAAACAAATGCACTTAACAAGACAGTTAACCCGAAACTTCAGTTCTATCGCCAGTGGGTTGACAAGTCCAAATATTTTTATTATTTAATGAATACTTAAATATCAGACGACACGTTATCTGGGTAGCTTTCAGATACAGTTTTCAGGAATATTCTGAAATAAAATAATACCTCAACGACCTGCTCTAATTATAAAGTATTTTCAAGTGGCAATCATTTTTCTGTGTCTCCTTATCCCGTAGACAATGAGATCATTTACTGTCCTTTTTTCCGATGTTTAAGTATTTATTTCGGAATGATGGGCTTGTAACTAGAAGTGCATGGTTTTTATTTTGTTTACGTAAAGGTAGCACGTGCAGGTATCATTGCTGTTGTTGTGTTTACCGTCTTAAGTAATTTGCTACTTCTCCAAAGAGAGTTGTGATTTTTGCTTTATTAGTGCGTGCACTCCACCCTGGCTATAACAAGATTTTTCCTATAGGAAAAGAGAAATGTCCAGTTAGAAGAGCGTATCTGCGGTCTGTGTCTTGGTCTGGGGACACATGGGAATCCGACATTCATGTTCTGACAACAGGACTTAAAACTACATCTGAAAACGCAAACTTATTCGAAGATGTCAATTTACAGCATCGAGAACATGATCACACTCTTGATCGGAATGAAAATAGGAGATTTGGGGTTTGGTTGGGTTTTTTGTTTGTTGATTTTTTTTTTTTTGTGGGGGGGAGAGGATTATAAGAAAGAAAGAGGGAAAGAAAATAACATCATGAAATGCGAGAGAACTGAAGAAGCCTGGATGAGAAAACGTCTTTGCTTCGCCTCTGCCTCATAAAAATGCCACTTGTTTACAAAAAGAGGGAACGAAAATCTCTTCGCCTGCCTAGAATAGTGAGCAATACTGGACCCCAAACTCTCCGCGGAAATAGAGAGGATTTGGGAATGAAATGGCAGTGCTAGAGCCCTACTTCACCACGCTACCGTCGTGTTCATGAATGTAGAGTTTTCTAGTTACTGTTTTGTTGATTTTATTTTTATTTGTTTGCTTCTTTTTCCTTCAGAGATAGTAAAAAATCAGTATAACAACGGGAGTGACATGAACAATAAAAAAACATATGCGTATCCCTGAGCACGGTACTGTGTTATCCTGACGGATCTGTCTTCGCTCTCGTATTATATTACCCTGGCTCCTCGGGACAGTGTAATACACCCAAGCAATTTTTCCCCCTTCACGGATCTAAAGGAGTGTGAATGGATGGATGAATAGAAAAACAAATAACCGAGGAGATTACGGTCTCAGGATTAATTATAAAGCACGTTTAACCTTTTTCTTTCGAGGGTTATTTTGCTTTGCCTGTGTCGCCCGGGTAGTTGCTCCCGGAGCTAAGCAAGGCTCTGGGGTTCCCGAGCCGCGGGGAATCCGCGGGGTTTCGCACGCCGTGGAACCACTCCGGGGTGCGGGGAGAGACCGTCCCGGTCCGTTGGAGGAGGGACAGCAGGAAGGCACCGAGGTCAGGGGCGCTGGGGTGGAAAGTGGGGACCAGGAGGGATGATGGGGCGTGGGGAGGAAGCGACTCTAAGACGGGGGTGGACACCTCACAGGTAAGCAGCTCCCGGGATCCTCTCAGAGGATCTCCTCAGAGAGGCAGAACAACTTGCTATCCCCCAAATCCGTTCAGCGGGAGTAGATCCCTCCCTCCATCCTCTCCCCACTCTTTTTTTCTTTCTCTCAGCATTTTTCCCCCCGTCCTGCCCTCAGGGCAGGTCCCGGTGAGTCCTGTCCCGCGGCTCGGCGGGGAGGGGGCGCAGCGAGGTCGGTCGGGAGCGATGGGTTGCGGAGCCGTGCGGTGCGGAGCGGTGCAGGACGGAGCGGTGCAGAGCGGCGGGGCCGGGGGAGCGTCCCCTCCACCGCGGGGCTGAGCGGGGAATCCCCCACACCCCCGGGAAGACGCTCCTCCGCGGGGAGCCGCGCGTAGCAGGCCCTGGGGAGATGCTCCGGGGGAGGCTGTGGGAGCGGGGTGGGGGGCGAGGTGAGAGGTTTGCGGGCTGCGAGCCCCGGGCTGCTGCGCCTCCGGGAGAAGAGGGTTGAAAAGTTGGTTCTTCCCAGCCAGAAACTTTCTCCCCGCGTGCGCATGCCCGGAGTGCGGTGGGAGGTTGAGGGGGGAGCTGGAAGGGGGGGTTGAAATAAGGAGGAGGCAGGAGGGAAGGGATCGGTTCAGTCTGAGCGCGACTGCTCCCGGGCGCGTTCGCACTCCAGCGCACGCAGCCGGCGCCGGGAGCAGGAGCAGGGAGAGCACCTCCGGCTCCGCCGGCCGGAGCACCTGGACACCTGGCCCTGCTCGGATCTGCCTGTACCCGTCGAAGGAGCAGTGGGGTGGGTGGGGAGAGCTGTGCCCCGCAGGGCCAGCGCAGACACTGACCTAGCCCAACCTCTTTTTTTTTTTCTTTTTTTTTTTTTTTTTTTTTTTCTCCCCCTCCCTATTTTTTCCACTATATTATTTTACCAGCTCCAATTTAGCCCAGGATCTTTTAACTGCTGCCAGCGGTGGAGCACAGATCGGGAATAGGTAAATAAAAAGAACAACTCATTCTGTTTGGTTTTTGTTTTGCCAAGACTCGGGGGTTGGGGATATCGATCCAAACACTTCCTTTACTCTACCTCCTTTATTTCTTTGCCCCCATCCGCTCCCACCGTCCCCTGGATGGTGCAGAAGCGTGGAAATAGTGGTTCACGTTAGGAGGACTGTTCTCCTCGGGGCGGGCGGAGGGCTGGGGTAAGCATTCACATGGATCTCGGATATTTTGATGCTATTTAAAGATTTGTCCTCCCCTTTCAAAGTTGCTTCTCCCCCCTTGCGGAGGAGCTGTGTTTTTAACCCGAGCTAAAAATGACACATACGAGCTGCAAAACAGAAGCCTGCACGTCCTTTACGGACTTGAACTTTCAGCTTTTCTCTTTTCTATTATCAGCTTTTCTTTCCTTTTCTTTCTCTTCCTTCTTTATTTATGGGATGTTACTTCTTTCTTTTTTCTTTTTCTTTTTTTCCCCCCTTTTCTCTTTTTAGAACTCCATTTTCAGTGTTTAGGATCCGAGAAGCCTTCTCTGTTTCCTCCCAAGGCTGTAACAGAAATGAACCTGATGTTTATAATTATTTGAATGGATCGAAACAAGTTCAGCGCAGGGAGAGACTAAGCTTTTCTTGAGATCGAGACTATAAAGTCTCAGTGCAAAGCCGAGGATTAGGGTATGGTTGTTATAGTTGGCTTTTGGGAGGGAACCTATAAAAATCGAGCATTTTTGAGATTATCGAAGCGCCGCGGGAATTGTTCAATAAATCGCGAGCCGCGCAGGACGATGAGGGCCGAGTCCCAGACAGGTGCACAATCGGTCCAGTTGAGTAAGTCCGAGGTCAGCTGAGAAACAGACCCCTGGGCCAGCGTCGGGCTCGGGGCCCCAGAGCTGCGGCAGCCCCGTGGCAGAGCCCGGCTGCGGGAGGCCGGGCCCGGGGATGCGCCGCCGTACCCTGCCTGTCCCCGGCGCTGTCACCGCAAAGGTTTGACCCCCCACCCGCGGCCGTGCGTGCTGTGACCGTGGGAAGCGAGCAGTACAGGGAGGAGAAATCCGCCCTGTCTCGGGGAGAGAAAGAGGGAGGACGATTTACTCTTGCGCACGGGACGTTTCTCTGTGCCTCCACCGGACTGTTCTCTAGGGAGAAAGCGAGGGTGAATCTTGTGCTGGGGACCCTTCTACATCCGATGGGGGGATACAAAAACATATACCAAATACCCTCAAACCTACCTAAAAACTTGTGCAGGGAGAGGGTGGAGGAGCTTGGCCCCTGTGGCCGTCCCACGGCTGTCACCCGCGCCCGCCTTGGGGCAGTACTCCAGCCCGTGGCCTCGTAACTCGTTGTTCCTCCAGGGGCCGGACCCGGGGATTTTTGCTGTTGTTTTGGATAAAGGCTGCCCCGAGCAGTGTAGCTATCGCTGGTGCAGTCGGATCACGGTTATTATTTATTATTTATTATTATTATTTGCGAGACTAAAACTCACCGCATTCACCCGCGCTCGCAATGGTGGTCTGGGGAGACTTGTCAACACCGATTTCGTGATAAAATGTGAATGATGATTTTATAAGGATTGAGCGGAGATATCCAAGGCACATGCTGACTGAGTCCTTCCAGTCCTCATTAATGTTAGCAATTAACTCTTTCACGCTCAATTAGCCCAGAATAAACCTGCTTTAATAGATTCTGCACACTTCATTAATACTTCGAATAAATCGGTGCTGAACAATGCACTTTATTCCTCAAGAGCACCACGCTCGAATAATGTGGAGCGAAAGGGCAGTTTTATTCCCTTTCCAATTAGTTTCCCAAACACAGATAAATTGTAAGCTCTATTTACTCGCTTTAACTTTAGGAAGAGAAAGTTTTCCTCCCTGAAAGGGGACAAAATAAATAGCCGACCTAGTGGCAAAATGTTGCACCAGACTTTAAAAGATTCAGGCAAAACTGGGGAACTTTTTTGACAGATGAACCTGACTGCTGTAGTTTAAAGCTCTCGCAAGAATGTATCATTTTATGTCCGCTACTTTATCATGTTTGTAAAAATAAGCAACGTTTTCAGGGTAATTTACCTCCTCCATTCTTCCATGTGGAACTAATTAGCAAACCTCATTATTTATGAGTCAGGTATTTAATATAACAAATATCCCTTTCAAAGGATACATCGGAAATTGACAATTCAATGTAAAAAGGAAAAATACCTAGTACCCACAAGATTACTTAAAAATCCATTTAATTTCACCCCTTGCTATACTACCAGCAGAAAGCTGGGTAGATTTTTTTTACTTCTTTTTCTTTTCTTTTTTTTCAGGCATATAGACTAGGTAGAATTTAATCTGGAAGGTTAAGATTACAACGGTCTTAAAACAATGGCAACTGGACAATAGCATTACCGTATCTTCAAATAGGACGAAGGGTAAGAAAGCTGGAGACAGATGTAGTCTTTCAAGTTTATGATCCTATTTTGCAGGGTAAATTTATCTTGGCATGAGTGGGTTTTGTTTCAGTCAGAACACAAGTGGTTTGTTCTTAATTACTCGCTGAGCTACTCTGTGTTAAAAAAGAAAAACCCGCACAGTTTTTTGCGATAGGGGAATTCAAGCAGAGAACTCTGGGGGTCTTCTTCTGGTTGGTGTTTTTTTTTGTTTGTTTGTTTGGTGTTTGTTTTTTTTTTAAAGAAAAAAAAAAAAAAAAAAAAAGACCTGATAACGATCTGTTTACATGAAGCAGAATTAAAGGTGGAGGTGACACCGAAATCAAAGAAACATTGATCTCTCTGCTGGCAAGCGGGAGACCAGAGAGTTACTGTGCTGTGAAACACGTTTGCTTTGATGTCCCGGAGCGAGGGGACTTCTTTATAGAATACCCTACTCTTCATCTGTATATTTGACTATCCTGGTCGTACAGAGCAAAAGTGTAGCTTACATTTCTGGAAAAGTGCCAAGAAACATGTAGTAACGTGAAAACTCTGCTCTCACCTCCTCTTTTCTTTTTCTTTTCTTCTCTTCTCTCTTTTTTATTTTTTTTTACCTTGTTCTCTTTCTTTTTCTTTTTCATCTTTTTTTTTTCCTTTTGATTTAACAGAACTGCTTTAGCAAAAAAAAAAAAAAAAAATAGCAAACAAGAAAATTCCGTGGATGCAATGAATGCTATTATGACCCAATTGTATTTCTCCTAGGTTTGTGCCCCACACTTTATTTGGGGAATTGTTCAAAAGAGAATTTTTTCAATGTTATTGATCAAGAATTTACCCACACTGACATTGAAGATTTTTTGCTTATATGCTTATATATCCCATATTAAATATTTTCTAAGGATATGAAGAAAAAAAGAGGGATAAACTCGGAACTTTCCTTCGTTTGTGATAACCTGTTTCATGCTTGAGAGATCTAGAGCTACCTAGACAGGAATATAGGCACAGAGCCCTTATGACGGACAGAAATAGACATTTTCAGATGCTCAGACAAGAGAGTTTTCTGAGCACTTTGTTCTTAGGGTCATCGGTTGAGGTATTTGTGCTGTGATGTGGACACACTTAGCGTATAGGCAACACAAACTAAGTAAAACTATATCTCCTGTATAAAACCAAAACAGTCTGGTTGGTTTATCAGACTTAAATCGATTAATTAAAAAAAAAAAAAAAAAAAAAGAAAAGAAAAGGAAAAAGAAAGAGGAAAAGGAAGAGAATTGAGAATATAAGGGATGTATTTTTCAATCAGTCAGTATCCAAAATCTATCCAATCAAAAAATGAAAAATGACACAATCTCTTATTCTGGGTCACTGCAGTGGAATTCTTTTAACGTTTGAACCTCTCTTCCTGCTGCTGATTTATGTAAAGCAGTGTGAAAGGTGGTCCCAGAGTACAGAGCTGCTCAGAGCAAGCTTCTCCCTCTCACACCCTCCCAGCCGCAGCTCTCCTGTCCAGGCAATAGCCTACATATAAATCAGATTTGTTTCCCTGGTCTTTAGACCTCTTCCAACACCAGTTTCTACCCCCCACACTTCCAGCCCAGATGGACAATTGCTGCTCTGCAGTACTTTGCTGGCTCCATTTCTCCAAAAGGGTATTGCTCTTCACATGGGCATAAACTCTAGTCTGAGTACTGTGTGGACCCTGACAGGATCTTGTGGGGAACCTATGGTCACTCAGCAGAAAGCCTATAGGGATCTCATGAAGACCCTATGTGGATTCTGCAGAAATCCTGCAGCAAACCTGTGGGGATCTTATGACCATCCTGTGGGGACTTCATGGGGATCCTGCCAGCAAACAGCCCCATTGAAGGCAAACTCCAGAGTTCCCCAGGGGGCAAAGTGAGTATAACCTGTGGGCTGTGGAGTGAGGAGAAGGCTCCCTGGGCTGCAGAGATGGGATGCCTCCAAAAGCCATGGGTGCTCTCTCGCACCCTCAGAGAGGAAGCTGCATCCCCACCAATAACCCTCGGGAGGCATCTACTACCAAATGGTTGACAGCAGTAGGGGCTGCATTCTCAGGCAGGGCCAGATGTGACTGAATACTGCTGCCCTGTAGCATTTTCCCCTCCGCCTTGTGGGGTGGGAACGGGTAGAGATCTGGCCCAGAGGAGAGGCTGGGGTCTTGGCAGGACCCTGAAACACAGAGCAAAGGGGTGGCACCCAGCCCAGTGAAGGGCTGTGGCCCTGCAGCTGCTGGGCTGGGTGTTCCATGGGAAGGGTCTCTGGAGCCGTTGCCTTTTTGCCTTTTGAAGGCTTCTAATTAAGTGATTGCCTAGATTAGGATGTGGGCTTGAAGCCAGGCACTTCCCCCTGGGGAGAGCAAATGGCACTCCAGATTCATCACCCAAAACTCAGCATTTTCTCATTTCTTTTTGCAGTTCACAAGAGGGAATGTTGTTGGCTGGTATTTTCCCCATAATGTTTTTTTCCTTAAAATTATTCACTTTTTTTTGAATGAAGAAGGACATGCAGTTCTGAGCACCCAGCTGCCTACATCACCTCAGAAGCTTGGCTGAGGCCACGACTGCAAGGAGCTGAACAACTCAGAGGCAGCAAACTCTGCACCCCCCCTCCCACACAACCTCAAGAGTCAGGGTTAAAGGCAGTTTTTGTGGACAGACACAGTGGGCAGTAACCCACTATTTTCTAAAGGCTGAGGTCACCCAGAAAGGGATTTTAAATAACATGGGAGAAGCCTGAGCACCATGGGCCAAAATGGCATGTCTTGGCGGTCTCATGCAGAGGATCATTCGAGTCTGCATAGAAAGGGATGCTGTTGAGCGGTGAATGATTGTGTATGGAGTACAACTTCTGTGTACAAGGGAGAGACGGGGAGAGGGAGAATTTGGGGATACACTCATAGCCAAGATCTGATTAAGCCTCTTTTAAGTCCCAGGAAGCCCCCTGCTGTGACTTTGGAGAAGGATATTAATGAAAGGTGAAGCAGAAATTTCCTCTGCTTTTATCTTCATATAAATCTACCTCTTCCTCTTCCCCCCTCCATCTTTATTTTACAGATATTTTCCTCCCCTGTTCCCAAGATCCTCCTCCTGAGCGACCACCATGGGAAGTAAAACCCTGCCAGCCCCAGTGCCTATCCATCCTTCCCTCCAACTTACCAACTACTCCTTCCTGCAAGCATTCAACGGGCTGCCCGCTGTGCCCTCCGACCACCTCTCCAACCTCTACGGCTTCAGTGCCCTGCACGCTGTGCACCTGCACCAGTGGACTCTGGGGTACCCGGCCATGCACCTGCCCCGCTCCTCCTTCTCCAAAGTGCCCAGCGTCTCAAGCCTGGTGGATGCACGATTCCAGCTGCCGACCTTCCCACTCTTTCCACATGTCATCCAGCCCAAGCAAGAGGCTACCAATGTGACCCTCAAAGCCAAACCTCGCTTTGACTTTGCCAATTTAGCAGTGGCTGCCACACAAGAGGACCACTCTAAACTGGGACAGGCAGACAGTCAGGGCTCACCCACAGGGCTGGGGTCTTTGCTTGAGGTGACTAAACTCTCTCCAGAGAAGAAACCAACACGGGGAAGGTTACCGTCCAAAACCAAGAAGGAGTTTGTGTGTAAATTCTGTGGCAGGCACTTCACTAAGTCCTACAACCTTTTGATCCATGAAAGAACCCACACAGATGAACGGCCCTACACATGTGACATTTGTCACAAGGCCTTCCGAAGACAGGATCACCTGAGGGATCACAGGTAAATATTTTTCTTCTCCTTTCCTTTCTTCCTTGTGTGTTTGTACTGTCCTCATTACCCATCTACACTATGAAGATGTTTGTAGGAAGAGTTAAGTCCCTGGCCAGACAACAGTGTTCCCTCTAAGTTTTCCTCTGCCCACTGCTAGTGAAGGAACTCAGGCAACTCACTTTGGAAGACATACCTCACTCACTCTACAAAAACAAGTTCCACAGCCTCCTTCTTAGCTTCCACAGAGGTTTTCACCCTCCATTTGCATCATGTTGTGTCCTCTGCCTTCGAGTTCATCCAGAAGTGTCAGGAAGACACACAGCCTGAGGATCCCAAAGTAAGAGAGAAACTCTTTATCCCTGAGAAAGGTACCCTGTAAGCCTCTAACAACCCCCTCTCCTCTTGCATATACACATACAGACAATTACCTAAGCTCGGCACACCAGCATTCTCTGTCTCAGCAGTAGGTGTAAAACATCTCCAGCACGTTCTTCCTTAGGTGACTCACTACTGAGTTTGGCTGGTTATTTCTGATGTTTCAATTGTTTTTCTCTCCCTAGATATATCCATTCTAAAGAAAAGCCTTTTAAGTGTCAAGAATGTGGGAAAGGATTTTGCCAGTCCAGAACACTAGCGGTCCACAAGACACTGCACACGCAAGTAAAGGAACTGAAACCTGCCAAACTTAAGTGTTGAATATCAAGCTTCTACGAACTTTTCTTTCCCTTCAGACTTTACACCAAACCCAGAGGAGAAACAAAACTTTCAGGATGGGAGCACTGGATTTTGTGCTTTGTTATTGTTTGTACTTTAAAAAGGGCAAAATCTGCACCCCTGCAATCCCCCATCCAAGCAATTAACTTCCTAAGTCATGGGTGAAAAGATTATTTTGCATTTAAAATATACATGAATGATACAGAGAGTGCTAGCTGACTTCTGTGGCTTTGATAAACTTTATACCAAAAGGTGGTGCTCACGTGTTGGACAGGAATCTCTCTCAAGCCAAACAAAACCCCATAAGACACCCCTTCCCACTCCCTCTCCCCCCAAAAAACCCCAAAATCATAGCTTCCAAAAGTATTACTTAAAAAAATCCAACCTCTTATTTTATACTTTTTTTTTTTTTTGACTGTATAAAGCTTCTTATTTTTACACTTCAGGAAATACAGAGAATTCCAGAAGACAATTAAGAACTGAAACGGTGGTTTCTCATCACAGCACCATTAGGACAAGCAGAAGGGCCACTTGCAAATCGCATTTGCTGGTTTGTTTTCAGAAAAGGAGAAGAAAATTAATGTTTGGAAATGACCTAAGTCTCTCTAATGGGGAATCCTATTATGCGGTAGAAAATGCATCTAGATCTTAGACCCACAGGTCCCTGGTGTTCGTGACAGACCAGTGTTGATGGGATATGGAGACCTCTTTTATTACTTTGTGGTCTAGTGCGCTGTGAGGAAGTTTGTAACTTGTGGACTTATTTGAAAAAACCCAGAAGAAAGAAAGATGGCAGTACATCAAACTGACGGTATGCACAACGTGGTTTTAGTGGTACTTTAAAGTCTTCGTGTGTCCTGGTGTGAGAGAACAAATCTCAACTTGAGAGCATATTTTTTTAAATGCCGGCTTTCTGAACAGTGTATTCAAATTAAGAGACATTCCAATAAGTTTTGTTTATTAAAAAAAAAAAAAGTTGTATGGCTGTTTGGCACTTTATGCTGATTATTGGTAATTGACATTTATCACTGGATTGTGTGTGGTTTTTAAGTATTAAAATAAATTGTTATTTTACAGGCAAGTCTTCATGGACTACGTATGTGTTCATTTGGTTTCTGATCTCTTCTGGGATAAACCCTCTCTGTAAATATTAAGAACTTTTTTTTTTTTTTTTTTTTTTTTTTTTACATTTCAGTACTTGTTTCTACCAGTCTTGGAAAATCCGGATCTTTTCTTTATTCATTAGCCTTACCCCTCCTAATTTCTTTTCCTTTCTTCTTTTTTTTTTTTTTTTTTTTAAGGCTGACAAAAGTAAACAAATCTGCAGAGAGTCAAATAATTTTGCTTGTAATAAGGAAAAAAAAATCGTCTTGGGTAACTAAATCTTGGGTATTAGCTGATAAGATTAGGTGTCAGAAGTGTTATAAAACAAATCAGATGAGTAATGGGTGAACTGTTGCTGCTCTCAGAGTCTGGAGGCGCTGCGGGAAGAGCAGCCTTCGCACCCTCTTCCCTGCGCTTGTCAGGAGCGGGCATTTTTCAGTCACATCTTCAGCCGGTTCAGGGCTGATTGGGGCGGCCTTTGATTCCCGGCAGCTGTCTTAGATCAGAGATGTTTATTCCACTGCGAAACCTCTTTGGATCGAGACGAGGGAGAGAGAGCTCAGTGCTGGGGCATCTGCCTGAGCCTTTGAAGCGCCTCTTGCCGTCCTTTCTCGTCTCCTCGGCAAACCCTAAACCTTCTTCCTCCTGTTACAAGTCAGTGCCCCCCGCGATAAGAGAAGACTCCTTCTTTATAAATTCTCAAATTAGGGCGGCGAAGAGGTCGGGGTGACGCCGGAGCTGCCCGGCGGCTTCTGTGTGGCCGGGGTGCAGATGTTCCTGCACCAGCATCTCGGTCCAGTGCGGGTCTTTTCCCCTTTTCCCCTTACCGCTTTTAGAAATTATTTCTTTATTTGTTCAAAGAATCCTATCAACGACAGGGGAAAAAGTTGCTGTTGTAACTCATTTAATGTAAGGGGAGGCAGGGGAGATACCTTTCTACTCCTCTTATTTATTGAACATCTATTTGAGCGCATCGTAACTAATGTAGAGGCACTTGCAGGACTGCCCGCAGACCCACCCCTAACGTGGAAAGGCCCTCGGAGAGCGCGGGATACGAGGTGCTGCCTGCACCCACATCCAGCTCCGGAGGCTGGGAGTGTGGGCAGCGTTTGAAGCCGACTTGCTTTGGCTTTGCTTCCCACCCCGCCACTCACTTCCCACACCAGGAGAAAGCGTTTGATTTTGCATCTGAAAAAAGGCATCTGAAAAGCAACAAGCGAGGAGTGCAGGGCGAAGTCCGCAGTAACCCGCAGGTAGCCCGGGCTGGCCCAGCGCGGGACTAGCGCGGGAGGAGCTCGGAGCCCTGCGCGCCGCTCCGCCGGCGCCTCCTGCGGGGAGCCCCGCTGGAACGAGGAGCATCCCTCCGTGGCGCTGGCTCCGCGCGGCCAGCCCGGGACGGGATGCGTTTGCTCGGCAGCGTTTCTCGGAGGCGATTTGAAGGTGTCGTCCTCCCCAGCTCTCTACTCCTCCACTGGGGGGTTTAGAGGCATCGCCTTGCCCTCCACGGACGCCCCCGGCAGCGCGGCGGGCGGGCTCTTCCCGGCTGCCCCCGGCGTGCCCCGCTGCGGGGCCAGGGACACCGCATCCCGCCCCTCACCGAGGGGGAACCCGCAGACCCGAGCACTGACACGGCGTTAATGGGCAGCCCAAGGGCTGGGTAGTTCCTCCTCCGCGATGCACTTCTAAAGGGAGATTCAGAGAGAAAATCCTCGATGAACTTCCCCGTCCCTCTTGTGTCGCTCCTGGCGTCGCTCCTGGCACCAAGTAAAGGAACAGGGATGCTTCCGGGGTTCTGTCGCGGAGGGAGAAAGTAAAGAGCTCTGTCGCTTGGAACTGGTGGGTTTTCAGGGGTCGTAACGACGAGGCAGAAATCTGAGTCGGGTCCACAGGGAGGGAGGAAGAGATTCAGGGAGGGTCACTTCACCAAGTCTTTCCCACGGTCTCTCCACCGTCTCCTTAACGTCGGGATACTGAAACACACGTGGCGAGGTAAGAAACCGTGTCAATGGGAACCATTATAGCTGCGGGATCGCGAGGGTGGACAAATCGCTTTTTCCCAGCTTGACATGAGAAGCATTTTATTTGTAAGGCTGAAACCTGGTGATATGACTGCCAAAAATTCCTTAGGACCTGCATTTTTATGTGCAATTAAAAAACAAACAAACAAACAAAAAACCACACAAAAAACACCACAGAATTGATATAATTGGAAATACAGATGTATTAAAACTATGTGGGCATACCAAGCACAGGATGCATGCACAACCTCTTAATGTCACTTGTGCTACACTAATACGTGTGAGTATTTCCTCCTCCCAGAAGGAAACTTTCGCTCTCATGCAAACAAAGGCTATCTATCTGGTTACGCTCTCAGTTGCACTGGGGAACAGTTTGCCTGTTCCCTCCAGTGTTTTGAAATTTGCTAGGCAGTATCAATTCAGCGATTCCAAGGAAAGCAAAACAGAGATGAAATCATGACAGTCAAAAGAGATAAATCGTACTAAGCCCCAAAATAAATGAAAGGAATTAGATGAGAAATGTGCCTTTTGAATCAGGATCACAAATAATTTAAATTATTAAATACCTTCCTTGTCTTTTTTTTTTTTCTATCTTTGCATGTGTTTTAATCTGACATTCATGCAGTGAATAAAACTTAGGCCTCTGCCAATTGAGAGCTGATTCTGTTTTCACAGTTGCTTTAAATTCTGCATTTTCATCATAAAAACATCACTAAATGGGAACTTGCAAGAGTAAAAAACTGGACACCTGACTCTAGTTGCCTCCTCCTGCAAGATTTATGAGGGAAACACAGATTTATATTTTTTTTTGTTTGATTATTTTTTTAACCATTTCCAGTTACAGAAGGAAAATGTAAAGATGTGTTGGCACATCCGTCTCTCTTTCCCGCCGTTTGCATTCCAGTCATTCTTTTTCTGCCCATAAACTGTTATTACTCCACAAGAGCCTGATTCTGCACAGCCTACTCAGCTTGTTTTTTTGTAGGATGCAGGAAGAAATCCTGTCAGATGGGGTCTTCAGTGTACACTCATGAAATAGAGCAAAAGCGTCTCTCAGAATGTGCACTGAGACAGCAAATAGTTACTTTTCAGCTGTGGATTGCATGTGCCTCTGAAAACGGGGCCACAAATCATTGGGTTTTTAAAGGTTTCGCATGAGTTGTATATTAATCCCAGTTTCCCTAGGGATGGATTAATCCCAGCTTCCCAGTTGTGTGGCTACAGACAATGTGGATGGGTTTCGGGGCAGGGGAGAAGGGAGACAGGGAAAGGAGGGGGAAATTAAAAAGATATATCATTGGAATACATGGCCTAAGTGGCGAAGAGCCATAAGTACTTAAGTTTACATACCTCCTCTACCTCTGTCACCAAATGTGATCTGAAGCAAATCACTTCAGCTCCCTGTTTTGGTTTCTTTATCTGTAAATTGAGGGTAATGCTGCTGATTTTGCTCCCAAAAGACCAGGCACACTGATGTAGAAACTTCTGCTCAACCCTCAGTAGTGAAAGGAGAAACTCTAATTCATACCTGGGCAGCTAAAAGCAGGGGCTGATCTGGGAGATCTAATGGAGTGTGCAAGACAAATTTATATTCACATGTAATTCTTTTCCAGCCCTGGCAGTTTTGTTGAGAGATGGAGTCCTAGAGCCCCGTATGCTTTTCTTCTCTACATTCCTATCCAGTGACTACACAGGAGGAATGACATGGGCCAAATTCATCCCTGGTGAGACTCCAGTGACATCAGTCATCTTTATAGGAGTTTTTTGAATGAAGTCAATTGGGTTTTACGAGGACCAAGTTTGGCCACATATGTGTTTAACTGCTCAGAGAGCTGCAGGAGTGAAGGAAGCTGCCCTTGACTTAGGAAGAATCACTTCTGATCTGAGTCTGAGAGACACAAGGAAAGCCATTGACTTGTTTTCCACAGTCAAGTTTACCTTATTTAAACTCAAGGAGCAGCAGAAGTATTCTCAGCATCCAGAACTTCGGAAAACTAGCAACCTAGCTGTCTCAAAATATTCATAGCTTTTGATGACACTCTGTATTTGTCTGTGTGGCTTGGTTCAGCACCGTGCCACGGATACCCAGAAGATATGTTTACATGACACAGGGCAGCACCCTGCAGGAATACTGGCAGGAGGCCTTTGAGCAGAACAGTGGCTTCAGCAGAGTGCACTGCTGGAGCTGTTTGGCTCTGTCTTTTATCAGACCTAGCTGTTCCAGGGTCCCTGTCACGCTCATATGTCTCTGCCACTTCTAGTTCACATTTCCCTCTCCACTGCTCTCTGGGGCTGTAATGTTCCACTGCCAGTTACACCTGATGAGAACATGATAACTCACTAAAGAGGTGCATTCTGTCCTCCCCTTGTGACTTAGCTGCTGGTGCTGACTCAACCTGCACCTTATGCTTGTGTTTAATTGGAGTCTGATATTACACCAAGCATATACAAAAGTTTATATTAGCATTATGGTTCCTGACTCAGTGGCTACTGAAAAATAAAACAAATCAACAAATTGATCAGTGTCAGTGCTTATCAAGTTTGTCTACAGAGCTTGTCACCACTAACTCTTTAAATTATTTGCAAGATCTATTAATTCTGTATTCTTATTTTATCTTCTAAGGAACAAGTTAACTTGAACAGCTAGAGAACTGTCTTGCTAAGTCTAAGTAGCAGAATTATGTTCTGGTCATATGAGGCAACTTAACTATTTCCCAAGGGATGAACGTCATGTCTCTTTTCCTGCTTTTTAACTTACCTTCTGTCTTTACTAGATCTTTGGGTGATGGGACTTACATTTAATTTTCAATATTTTTATGTTATATGTGTAGAATAATGAAATGTGAATTTATGGGCTTTGTTCATCTCTTTTACAGCAACTTGACTTGGCTGAATCAAGTGGAGCTATTCTAGTTTTACAGTAGAAGTTGTGAATTAGACCTAGGGATGGTTTTGCTGC